ATGCAGAAGTCAGAAGAAACTCCTTAGATGGCACAACCATCTTCAATTGCTTCACCAGTGGCTTTCCTTTCATGACAAAATCGTAAGTAGTGTTGTTCACTGATGACAGCTCAATATTCAGCATCTTTTTTTTATTTATTCATTTGTGGGATGTGGATGTTGCTGGCTGGCCAGCATTTCTTGCTCATCCCTAGTTGCCCTTGAGCAGGTGGTGGTGAGCTGTCTTCTGGAATCACTGCAGTCCACCTGTTGTGGGTTGCCCCACAATGCTGTTAGTGAGGGAATTCCAGGATTTTGACTAACGACAGTGATGGAACGGCAATATATTTCCGAGTCAGGATGGTGAGTGGCTTGGAGGGGAACTTGGAGGTGGTGATGTTTTCATATGTCTGATTCCCTTGTCCTTCTAGGTGGAAATGGTCATGGGTTTGGAAGGTGCTGTCTGAGGGTCTGTGGTGAATTTCTGCCGTGCATCTTGTAAATAGTACATACTGCTGCTGCTGAGCGTCGGTGGTGGAATGAGTGGGTGCTTGTTGATGTAGTGCCAATCAAGCCAGCTGCTTTGTCCTGGATGGTGTCAGCGTCTTGAGTGTTATTTGCGAGCCCTTAGATACTGAAACAGACCGTGTCCATATGCAGCAAGACCTGGTCAATACCAAAGGAAAATAGGAACAGGAAAAGGCCATTCAGCCTCTTGAGCCTGTTGCACCACTCAATGAAATTGTGGCAGATCTGTGACCTAACACTAATTACCAGCCTTTGGCCCATGTTCCTTAATACCTTTGCTTAACAAAAAAGTTAACTATCTCAGATTTAATATGAGCAACTGAATCAGCATTCACTGCCCTTTTGAGGCAGAGAGTTCCAAACATTTACCACCCAGATCATGGCTTGAGCCGATAAGTTGCAAATAACATTTGTGCCACCAAGTGCCACTTACAACTATATGCAACAAGAGGAAATCTAATCATCACCCCTTGACATTCAATGACATTACCATAGCTAAATCCATCACATCCTGGGGGGGTTACCATTAGTCAGAAACTGAACCAGATAAATACTGTGGCTACAACAGCAGTTGAGAGGCTGGGGAATTCTGTGAAGAGTGACCCATCTTCTGACTCCTTGAAGCCTATCTACATCTACAAATAACAATCAGAAGTATAATGGAATAGTCTCCAGTTGCCTGGATGTGTGCATTCAAGAAGCATGGTACCACATAGGATAAGACAACCTGTTTGACGGGCAACTTATCCACGACCTTAAATGGTCATTCCCCCGACACTAACACACAGGGGCAGCAGTGTGCTTCATCAAAAAGACGCACTGCAACTGCTCACCAAGCCTTTTCTGGCAATACCTTTCAAATCTGATATCCCTATCACCTTGAAGGACAAGAACTGCTGATGCATGAGAGTGGCACTGCTGGAATACACACCTCCAAACCACGCACTATCCTGACTTAGAAATGTATTGCTGTTCTTTCACCGTCACTGGGTCAAAATGCTGGAACTCCTCCCTGACTGTGGATATACTCACACACCAAGGACTACAATAGTTCAAGAAGGTACCTCACCACCATCTTTTCATGGGTATTTAGGGAGGGAAAATAAATCCTGGCCCAGTTGCGATCCCCTCAGCCTAAGAATGAATAAAAACAAAAATCAATGGCCCTTGCTATTACATGGAGTGATTGAGGAGAAAAGCACAGAAAGGGGTTAAAGTGCTGCTAGATAATCACATGACTGAGAAAGAAATAGAAGGATGCGTTGGTAGGAAGGGATGCGGTAAGGTAGGACAAGGCTTGAATGGAATATCGGCAGAAATAGCAGCTGTCAGCCGAGTTGCCTATTCCTGTGCAATTCTATGCTTATTATGTTAAACTAGTCTTCTCTCTATAATGGAGGAAACTTGCAACATGCTTTGAAATAAGGTTAATACAGAAACCTGAGCTGCAGCCTTGATCTTTGAATTGCCATGCTACAAGTCTGCTTGAGACACGATCGCGGTGGTGGAGCTGGGGTTGTTCTATCTGGCACTGATACAGCAAGATTCATAGGATCAACAATAACAGGGACACAAGTTCCAGGACCTCACTGACCACCATGTTCTCAATTAGGGATGGGCAATAAATAGGCCAGAGATATCCCAGCAATGAATAAAAATATTGAACAACACTGTAAGAAAACTCAGAGCACAACATTAAAAAGAAATAGGTTTATTGAATGACAATGTCAAAGTCTGTGATCTCAATATGATGACTGATTTCTTTTTCTACTGAGGTCAGATCTTGCTGCCTCACCATTGCCAGCTATTGCTTTGTTGTTTGTCTCTTATTTTTAAAAGATTATTCATGTGATGTTGCAGGCTATGCCAGTGTTTATCGCCTTGGGAAGTTGATGGTGAGCTGCAATCTTGAATGATTGCTCTCTTTGTACTGGTTATGGTGGTGTTTCCATTGCATCTGCTACCTTTGTCCTTCTATGCAGTGTATACAGGTTTTGAAGGTGCTAACAGAGAAGCATTGTTGAGCTACTGCATTGCTTCTTGTAGATGGTAAACACTGTTGTTGCTGTGAATTTGTGATGAGGGAAGTGAATGTGGATGGTGATGAATATCAAGTGGGCTGCTTTGTCCTGATTGGTATTGAACTTCCTAAGTGTTGTTGAAACTGCATTTCATCCAGACAAGTGGGGAGTATTCGATCACACTTCTGATTCATGGCATGCAGGTGATGGACAGACTTTGGGGAGTCAGGAGATGAGTTCCTCTTTGGAGAGTTTCTAGCATCTGACTGAATGTTGTAGACACAGTTTTTATATGACTAGTCCAATTCGGTGTCTGTCAATGCTAACCTCCTGGATGCTGATAGTAGGAGATTCAGCAATGATAATACCATTGAATGTCAAAGGGTGATAGACTCTGGTTTTTAAGATCGTCATTACCTGACACTTGTGTGACACAAATGTAACTTACCAGTTATCAGCTCAGGCCTGAATGTTGCCCAGGTCTTAATGTACGTGCACATGAGCTGAGTCAGTGTCTGAGGAGTCATAAATAGTGCTGAACATTAGCAAACATTCCCATTTCTGACCTTATCGTGGAGAGAAGGTGATAGTGGTTCCTGAGACATTGTCTGTAAGGTATGATTCCATGTGTATGAATATGCCTGGTTGTTGCTTGATTAGCTTGTGAGACAACTGTCCCAATTTTGACGCAAGCCTCCAAACCTTGGTAAGGATGAAGTTGCAGGGTCTATGGTTTGCTGTTCTTGTTTTTGGTGCCCAGTGTTGGATGGTACGTCCAATTTCTTTCCTTTGTTTAGACTTCAGAGAGATTTGGTATAATTGAGTGGTTTGCTCAACTATTTCAGAGGGGAGTCAAGAGTCAACTGTGGGTCTGAGGTCACATGTAGGCCAGACTGTCTAATAATAGCAGATATCCTTCCATAAAGGGCAGTATTGAATCAGATGGATTTTTACTAGACAATTAGACTATCTTTTTAATTTCACATTTTTTGTTTATTATCTTCAAGTTTCGCCATTTGCCATGGTGGGATTTAACTCCACATCCCCAGAACATTGGCTGGGGCTCTGGATTATGAATCCTTCACCTCTAGATTATGATACCATCACCTTCCCTTAATGTGAATCCCTGCTAAGGGTTCAAGTAGCTGAAATCGTCAACAAAACAAGCATCAAAACACTCCGCGTTTAATTCCTGACGTTACGGGAAAGACTTTGCTCACTGTAAGTCGTGTTGATGCAGTAATGGAAGGAATTCTTCCCCCTCTGCTGTTAATTTGCTCAGCACAGATCATTTTGCGTTAACTAGGTAAAATCTTTAATACAAGTAATTACCTCTCCTGTATAATTGGAAGTCTGTCAGCTCTGAAAGTACATGTGGGCAGAGTATTTTACTCATGTTGTGAAATACAGTTTTCAATGCCTCGAGGCACTGTTTTGTTTTGTGTGGTCTAAGCTGCCAGAGCATGCTGCTGAATAAATATGAGGCTGTTCCTATTTCCTGTCCACTCACATTACAGAGTTGGCAGCATGATGATGTACTTACATGGCACATGTAAATAGAAAGCCCTATCTCCCCTGAGGAGATGAAATATTTTTGAGTATTTTTTAACGGAAATGGTGCAGAAGTTAAATTTAAAGCTGAAGACACTGGCGTTTTTATTTGTTATTCTTTTGTTTATTTAGTTGTTCGTTCTGCAGATTATTGCCATGGGGAGTTGAACTTTTTCTTTACCCCCACAGTTTGGACATTGAAATTCAAATGCTCAAGATCAAGGGTCAATATCTTCAGGCCTTCTCTATAATCAGAACAGTACGTGTCCTGCTGTGCACCAATGTGAAGTTAACATTTAGGGATTAAGATCGCAATGCAAAACATTATTGAAAAATTTATCAAAGAATTTATATGTTCTCTTCCGTCTATTTTTTTTAAAGAGAAATATCCTTAAACCCAAATAGGTTACTGCCTTCCTAAAAATAGCAAAAAGAATCTCATATAAATGCACTCATACATTTGTAACATGATTAAAATGCATCAGTTAGAAGGATCCTTAAAAATATCACAACTCCGGCACCCGAATGATGCTTTCAGCAGACTTGATATGTTTCAAAACAAAAGGGATCAGTTTCATTTGTGCTATGTTAATTCCGGTTATACTCCTTCCTTTGTGTCTCACAGCTAGTTAAGTAAAACACCACAAGTGGGGAAGCTGACAATATTATGCAGCTAAAGGAAAGAAAACAGTTCAGTTGTAACACAAAGACGACACGATATTTTCTGTACTTTGTTTACAATGATGTAAAAGGCAATGTTATGCAAGTTATGGGTCCATAAACAAAGTCAACTTTCTGAGTCGTTAAGGCAGATGGTGGCTGTTTTTCAGCTCTGCAATGGCCTAGCTAGAGTTGTACATCTGGAGATCACTGAAGAAGGGATATATTTTAATTTGTTCTTTTCTCATTAGAATATGGAAACAGACACGGCAGGAAGTGCGGACGTCTTCAAGCAGGCCCACACTTACCTCCCCCAGAACCGGGCCTACTTGAGGATCACTACCATAGATTGGGTGAGCCAATTTAGTGTCCTCCCAAAGCACTGAGCTACATCAGGATATTAGGTCGGCATTAACAGCTCAGTTAAGGTCAGTTTGAGTCCACTGACAATTCTTGTTACAGGCTTTATAGACTTAACCTGTAGTCTTTTGTTCAGTGCAATACTTCATTTCATCAGAATAATTTTGAGGAAGGATTACCCAGCCCAAAATGTTAAATCTGATTTTTGTCCACAGATGCTGCCAGACCTGCTGAGCTTTTCCAGCAATTTTTGTTTGTGTTTCTGATTTACAGCATCACGCAGCTCTTTCAGTTTTTACTTCATTTGAGTAGAATACATTAGAAGCGGCTTTTGCTTTCTTATTTTCTTACCTTATCAATTCAAATAAAATGCTGAAAGGGAACACTATCTAGTTTCCAAAATGTATCATTGTATCAACGCAAATTATCCTCGTGACAAATCCTGATGCTTTCACGTGAAGACACTGGTCCCTATTCTGACACTCTGTGCCAAAGCAATACCATTCATTGACAGTCTCGGTGTTAACAGTCCACTTACTTCACATAATACTCCTCTAGGAATTCCACTGTGAAGGCTGGATAATTCCCCCACTCTCCCCTGCAACTGGTGGAATCTTCTGTTCCTGGAAATGGTGAGCTTGGAAATGGGATGGGTGGCACTTAATAAAGTGGATGCCCAAACGCCATTTCCTGCCCATCACTGCCACATTAAGTTCTGGCTGAGAAGGCACATCATGATCAACATTGTATCCCTGCTGCTCAACTAAATGTGACTGAAGTGCATCAGCTCATCGCTGTTGGGAGTAACACTGCTGTAGCTGGGTCTGTTGCCATGCGGTATTCACAATGCAGCTTGCCAGCTTGAGTTGGGGGAGACCGTGTCCCTTAACCAAAGACAATTAGTGCTTGATAGTGGAACCGAATATTGGGTGGGGGTGCGGTTGGGGCCAGGGTGTGATACCACTGCTGTTGCTTCAAACCCCCAAACCCCTCTTTCCAAGGTCGCCACCCTGAGAAACACCCTAGTCTCCGACACTTACCTTTGCCCTGGGTTTTCCATGATGCTGTTGTGTTATTGAACACGAAAAATGGCAATGGCCTAGTGGTGTTATCGCTGGACTGTTAATCCAGAGACCCAGATAATGTTCTGGGGACTCAAGTTCGAATCCTGCCATGGCAGATGGTGGAATTTGAATTCAATCAATATCTGGAATTAAGAATCTAATGATGACCATGAATCCATTGCTGATTGTCAGTAAAAACCCATCTAGTTCACTAGTGTCCTTTAGGGAAGGAAACTGCCATCCTTACCTGGTCTGGCCTACATGCGACTCCAGATCCACTGCAATCTGGTTGACTCTTAACTGCCCTCTGGGCAATTAGGGATGGGCAACAAATGCTGCCTAGCCAGCGACGCCCTCATCCCATGAAGGAATAAAGAAAAATAAATGCAAGCTTCACAGTGGCCAGCAGCTCTCACAGAATCATTGAGTCATAGAATTTCTTCAGTGCAGAAAGAGGCCATTCAGTCCATCGAGTCTGTACTAACCCTACGAAGAGCCAATCAGAACTATCCTGCCACTCCAATCCCGTAAACTCCACCCGCCCCCCCCAACTAAGGAAATTTTACCGTGGTTAACTTACCTAACCTGCACATCCCTGGATACTATGGGGTAATGTTTTTTGTAGCATGGCCAATCCACTTATCCTGCACATCTTTGGACTGTGGGAGAGAACTGGAGCACCTAGAGAAAACTCATGCAGAAACGGGGAGAACTTGCAGACTTCTGGCTGGGTGGGACCTCTGCTCTGGTGGTGTTCTTGATACCAGGGAAAGTCCTGTCAGTGGCCATGCTCCTGCCTGCTTGGCCCATGGTTCAGCTGGCCTTTCCTGGAAGAGGAAGCACAATTTCTTCCCAGCTATCTGGCCAGCTGTCAAGATTCCCCAGTCCTCAACAAGGTTCCTCCTCATTTGTGTAGTGTTCAACTGTTCTATGTTTGATTATGTGAGTCTGTCTACTCTTGGCACTCATTGTGCTTGATTAGTTAGGCTTGGGGGAGTTGATTCAAAGAGAAGTGAACAAAGTGGAGGTTAAAATAGAAAATGTTGGAGAAACTCAGCAGGTCTGGCAGCAACTGTGGAGAGAAAGCAGAGGGAACATTTTGAATCCAGTAACAATTTGTCAGAACTTTATTAGTTCTTTGTTTCATTAAAGTGTAGAAGTTGTTGAAAACTTGAGGTGAAAGCTTGGAGCAAAATTTTTAAAGCATTGTGAATAAGCCTGTTATAGATAGAGAAACCAATACATCATATCCGTATAGATCAGAGATTAAAAACCAGTGGTGCATGGACCATAGCATAGTTCCTGAGATAATTAATAAGAGTAAAAAGGACTGAGCACATGGTGCATTGAATAGAAATCATCTCATCTAATCTGTCAAAACCTTCAGAAACAGAAGATATGCTGAAAAAAGTTTTTTAAAAATTTGTTTAAGGAACAGTAATATTTATTATTTAGAAAGCATATAAACAAGATTTTAAAAAATTATATAAATATAAATGGGTTATATGGATATTTAAACAAACATGTTAAATGTGAGATGAGTGTGAGGAGAATAATTTTTAAAAGTGATAAATGTAGACATTAAATTTTAAAACATCATAAATGGTATCAGAATCATGTAAAAGTCATATAAATTTAATAATTTACCAAGATAAATATTCAGAATCACTTCTAACGAGTAAGATAAATTTGAGCAACATTGAAACATCTAATTTTCATATCCTCATCAGATATTCCCAAAAATGACAGAGGGGTCTCCTTCCATCTCAACACCAACCCTAACATTTTGTTGTGAATGGGTAATTAGCCCAGATTCACATCAGTTCCATTTTGCTTCCCTGATAATGGTAACATCAATATCAGAGCTAAAATGGCAACCCTCTGGCACATTGCATAAGGATAGAGGCACTCCAGATCTCTGAAAGTTTGTGCTGTTGTACACCAAACAGAATGGTTGCTAGGACACTGTCACTGATGTGCATTACTGTGATGATCAGTGACTACAGCAGCTTGATTGGAAGAACTGGGCCATTATTTCTAAGGGCTATGTCAGCAGGTGTTTGTTGATAGTTGTTCAAATGTACAGTGCTTTGCTATGGGAAGCGGCTGAGGTAAATCCCATTTAATCTTTTAGGAAGAGATAATAAACTTTCAAGACAAAGGAAGATCAGGGCACTTGAGAAGGAACAAGCCAATGGGATTAGTTTTGATTTGCCCTAACAAAGACCCTGGACAGACATGTCAAACTATATCAACCACTGTACCTTTTTGTTCATCATTGATATCTCTTCTACCTTCTCCAAAACTCAATTCAGTTTGGATATTTCATTAGTGGTGTTGTACTTTCAAAGTGGTTTATTGATCAGATGCCTGTCCACACTGGTCAGAAACGTATCATGTGTGACAGCTCACTGCGAATCCTAATTTATTTTTCACTGTTCGGTTGATGACCTTGCATTATGGAGGTGATCTCCAGCTGTAAAACATAAAGCAACATTTGACTTTGGTCTGTTACAGATGTTCTTTATGAACAGATTTGATGAAATCCTCAAGATGGTGCTTTCTTACTCTTTGCTCTTTATTCATTCCCTTGCCCATTAAAGTTGGTGACACCTGCTGAGACACAGGTCTTTAGATACTGGCAAGCCCCAGGTATTTTGCCAGGCTTTAAGTACAAACTTGGATAATGAGTCTCTATAGGCTTTTGGAAGTGCCTGCAAACGCATCGTGACAGAGACCATTCAATTTTCTGAAAATTAAAACCAGTTAATTTCCACTTAGACATTCTGGCTCATACTTTTTGTGTTTCCTTCATGACAAGCGAAATCAAATACATGGTTTAAGAAAATGATCAGGCAAAGAATAAAATTTCAATAGTTAATGAGGATAAGAATAAAATTCAGCAAGTCTTGGCCACAACTTTAGAAACATTAAATTATTCCATCCACTTGAAGTGGCTGTCAAAGTGGCTGTAAGGACACTTAAATCACAAAATCCAACAACTGATTTTGGTGCAAAGAGAGAGGTTGCTTTTACTTCCCTAACTATCCTGCACTACTCCGTTTGAAAGTGCTCTCCATATGTCTGAAGAAGCCCTGACTAGAATCTTCTCTCAGAACAGCAGGGCTCATTCATTATGTAAAGAAAAGGAACAGAATGAGAGACTGAGTGTGAATGCCACTCCTTGGAAAATCCAGTCCATATTGTTCTAACATTCAAACATACAAATGATACTGAAGACCTTCCCCAATTCTGACCCTACTTCACCTGCACCAATGCATACCAAAGTGTGTGGCACTTAATATCAACACATTGCAAAGTCTCCAAGAACCTATTGCTCCAAAATGGGTGGGAGATTTGGTTGTTGGGTTTTAAATAAGACTTTATAATAAGGACATGAGGGGCAACTTTCTATGCTCGGTTTGAACAGAATACCACCGGGTGGTGACACCTGGCCTGACAGCTCTGGACACACCTGTTCCTTCTGTTACTGCTTCAGAAGTCAGATCAGTCTTCCTCGGAGTCAACCCAAGGAAAGCGATGGGCCCGGACGGAGTCCCTGGCCGAGCACTCAGATCCTGTGCGTGCCAACTGGCAGAGGTATTCACCGACATCTTCAACCTCTCCCTCCTACAAGATGAAGTCCCCACCTGCTTCAAGAAGACCACCATCATCCCCGTACCCAAGAAAACACATGCAATGTGCCTTAATGACTACCATCCAATAGCTCTGACTTCAATAATCATGAAGTGCTTCAAGAGGCTGGTCATGGTCCACACCAACTCCAGTTTACCAATCTGCCTCGAACCCCTACAGTTTGCCTACCAACATAACAGGTCCACAGCGGTTGCCATATCCCTAGCCCTGCACTCATCCCTGGAACATCTGGACAACAAAGACACCTATGTCAAACTCTTGCTCATTGACTAGAGCTCTGCCTTCAACGCCATTATCCCCTCCAGATTGATCTCAAAACTGTGTGACCTTGATCTTGACTCCACCCT